ATTTTCTTTTCTGATCATAAGTAGATAAATCCAATTTATTGCTGTAAGAGACTGCCAACCTACCTGGAGTAATTTGTTACTTCAGAGTTCACATCTAGAAATATTACAAGTAAGACATTTTGAATCGTATTATTTTTTAATGACTACTTAGAACATTTTTAATTAAAAATATCACAAATGCAGTTGTATTCCAATTTGCGACATTCCTCTGAAGAGGCTACTGTGGATGAGTGCTTGAGAGGTAAACAGTAGCAGTCATTCCCCTGCTATCAATTTGCCTGAGGACAATGACTGCTCTGTGAACAGATTCGAAACTGTTTCTGGTTTCTTGAGCATTTTGTCTCCCAGAAAGCCAGGTGCAAGCCTTCAGCAATGTGCAAATTAATCTTGTTCACAATCACAGCTAATGTCACAGCAGAAACATACGCTGACAAAAGTAGGTGTTGCAAACTAGTCCGAAGTGTGATTGGTGAGGAAATGGAATGGAAATAACTAGCTCTAACAGAGCAGTTATTGATATGCTAAGAAAGGATATAGCAAATGTCTGGGTATATTTTTAACCTCTTGAGCTTTTTACGGGGATGTAATTGACGTTGGGTAGAAAATAAAATCCATGGAGGAAGGAAAACTGTCAAATCCAGAATCTCTTCAGTTATCAGAGAGCAAGAAGAAATAAAGGCAGTGAGCAGAAGAAACTAGGATGTGGTTAAATAGTAAACAAATGTAGGGTTCAAAAAGCAGGTATACTTTTATAACAGGATACAAGGAACTAAAAAATCATGCAAGAAAATGGAAAATGTTAAGCAATGAGACAGTGTTCTAAAATTACCTTTACTACCTGGCATGAGCATCAGGTAGGCCACAGGTCTGCATGCAACAGGCCTGGTGGGAAGAATGGAGATGAAGAGAACACTTAGTTTGTAGATCATGTCTCAGAAGAAATAGCTCTGAAACATGAATAATTTATAACTAGTAGCACTATTTGAAGTCAAAGAGATCAAGCTTAGGATGAAAAAAAATTCTTTAGAGACTGCAGATACCATCTTGAAGTTACCCAGCTTTGCAGGGATAAAGGTAGAGCTTCTAGATGTGTGTAATCGCACTAGTTCAAATCCTACAAGGTATTTAAATGACTTGCCCTTTTCAAGAAGATACTTTTGAGGATCTATTTATTTCTCAAATAGACGTATTCAGGATGATGTTCACGGCTACTGCAGAACAGGTTCTCTTGGGATCCCATTCCACATCACAGTGTGAATACCATCACACTGTGTGTTTTCAGGCCATGAAATACAAACTCTTAATCTTTTCCAAAATGTGAGGTTATAACATTGTGATTCCTATGGGTTGTATCTTCTTAAAACTTTCCTCTGTTAAAATTTGAAAATGCTACATAGTGTGAACCTCTTTAAAATGAAGTGACAATTCTGGAACTAAAATGCTGTGTGGCAAACAGAGAAGGTTGCATTTGGAATGCTGTAGGACCCTCGCTTCTGAGCTGACCTTTGTCACATGGGCTAGACCATGTCCTACAAATAGGTGTTGTAGTTGCTGGAAGCTAGGTCTCTGTAAGGTCTCCTAGATTCTTTGCTAGAAAAATAGCTGCTGTGTTTGTAACTCCATAGAAAGAAAAGGCTGCAACTCGGGCAAGAACAAGAAAATCTTAAACGTGCCCCAGTTACCCGTTGTTCTTTTCATTTATCTTTTTGTGGAGGTTGCTATCATAAAAGACTTGAGGGCTGAAATGTTAGGCTACATGCAGAAATGATACAGTGGTCATTTCTATCTCACAGGGATAGCTTGTTATGGAGTACTGAATATCAGACTTGACGTTACATCACTTACAACAAGGATGAAATAATAAAATTGTAAGCAGTAAGTCCTTATGCTCAGGAAAATAATGTTTGCTTTGAAACTGGCTTTTGAGTTTCGTGGAAGGGATATGGCTATGGAAATGCCATACAGTTTCCTTTGGGAAATCATTACTTCCTCCCCACAAGCCCAGCACTACTCTGCCAGAAGCTGTATCAGCAGCAGAGTGCCCTCTGTTAACCCCACGTCCTACCAGCACCTCACCTTTCCTATGTGCATACAGCAGCTGGGAGAGCAATTGGAGCCAAGAGAGAATTTAAAATACTTCAAAAGAAGTAGAGTCAAAAGAAGTCCATCTTTTTTTTTTTTTTTAAAGACTAGTTTTTACTGTGGAAACGACAGCAGTGTTGTTATCAAATTGCACCTCAAAGGGTTCCCAGCCACATGAATCTTAAACATTTTTTTTTATTATTATTTCTAAGAGTAGAGTAAGTTCAAAAGAAGATGACTGATGGCATATTTCTGAAAAATCTGTTGCATGATGTAGATTCTTTCCTGCCAAGCGATGTGAATGTTTGGAGGTATGAACACAAGTGTAAAGAAAGTTCTCTAGGCAGCTGAACATGATACAATTTGTTGTTTAGTTGTACTACCATGAGCTAGTAATCCTGATTGTTGACTCAGATTCTGCCATAAAAGATATTACATCAAGAAGAAAAGAAGTTTTTGTCCCTCAAGTTTATATTCCCCAGAATTACAACTTCACCATATTAAAAACATTAGTCCTTATTGCCCTTTTCTGAAGTGCTACTTATTCATTTACATTTAGTTTTATGTAGTGTCTTACAAATTCTGTGCTTGGGTAGTACCTCTGGTACTCCATTCAGATAAGAAAATTAGTAATGATCATACACTTGTCTTTGATTTTACTTAGTAGAGATGGAATGAAGTCCCCGCATTAACCTAATCTAGTCTGAAGGGTAGAGACTCTATATGAATCACTTTTGCTTGAGCTGAATTTCCTTTTTTTCAGAGGTATTAGAGCCAGATATTACTAATTTTCTATTCATTTCTTTATGTCTGGTAGAGAATTTTCATGCAAGTGTTCAGTGACTATTTGAATATTTCTTTTATTCCACAAATACTATATACTAATATGGAAATATGTTTATCTGAACTGAACATAAAATGATTTCCATTTTTCAATCTACAAAGATTAGGCTGAAAAATCAGATTTCCAGAAAGCTCCCAGTTGTTTCCTGGTTTCAGTTCAATTCCCAATATTCTCATTGCAGCATTTTTGCTCATAGACCTTGAGTCCCATCTGGGGGCTGAAATTACAATGGCTTGTGAAATTTAATTAAAAATGAAACAAAGAGTGAATAGACATTTTTTAGAGCCTCAAAACTGATATTGTTTAAGCTCTTGGTAAAATGAAGAGATGCATATTACCTTTTATCCTGTTCCTGTAATAGAAATCAAGGTTATACTATCTCAGGACCTCCACGTTTATAATTCTGAACACACTGATCAATTGTGACTATTAAACCAGAAGTTGCAAGGTGTAAAAATACACGTAGAGGGATTGGAGAGGTTGTCACATAATGTTGCAGTGCTGCTTTCCACACCATCCATTGCCCCATACCTTTCTTCTCCCAAGAAAGGTTAAAGCATGAATTTGGTCCTTATCAAACTCCAGAGAAACTGAGAGAGCACCTGTGAGGAATGCTTCAGCTGCTGAAAAAGCTAAGTTGGCATTTAGTTCATGGCATTTAGTTGGCCATCTTCATTAGACAGTAGGGAATTCTGCCACAAGATCCAAATTTGTACGAAATAAGCCTTCTGCTCACAGAACTATTCATTTTTCATTTTTAATTCTCCATACGTAAAATCTCCTATCATGCTGTGAAAGGAAAATCCATTCTAAACTTTTCAGGAGGTGACTGTGAGACAGAGGGTAGGCCACAAGGAAAGAGATGAGAGGTTTTTTCACCCCAGCATTACGTCTGGGATGCGGCTAACCCTGATGGGCTCCAAAGCTGACAAGCTCAGCAGAGATGTCTGCTTGGGGTAGCTTTATACTGAGTTGGTTTGGAATGTAACGTCCAGGAGTTGTAGCTATACTATGAGGACTAAATGATTTATTCCACTGCATGAAACAGGCGTTACCACGCCTAATGGCATGGATTATCATAGGTCAGCCAGTTGGTAGGACACTCAGTGACAGTCTCCATCACTGCCAAGCTCTGGAGTAGCGTTACCATGATGGATGTGACAGTGCCTTTACTTTCTGGTGTAGGGCTGGGATTGGATCTCCACTCATAAAATGAGCTATTTCATGAGTTGGCAGAAATGTTATGTTTCCATATTTCAGAATTCTGAAGGTTGATGTTTTTATCTTTCCTTTTTCTTCTCTGACTTATAGATCCATAATTACTTTTTCCTATTTGCTAGTAAAACATTCTCCCAACAAAGTTCTCTGCTGCATGCATGCTATCTAATTGAAGGATATCACAGATTTCCTATACTCATGGTTGAAAGTGTACTTTTTTCCTGCAGCATTGCTATGTCTAGTCATTCTATTTTTGAAAATTCTTGTTTTTAAAATAATAATAAGCAAAATAATATGTATTTTCTTCAAATCAAATAAAATCAAATCAAATTGATTTTCTTCAAAACTGGGATTTTTCCAGAATGAAGACAAATGGTGTTTTTCATGAACTCTTTTAATTGCTCAGACCCTTAGCACTATTACAAACAGCAGGAGAGTGACAGTGTGCTCTAATGTTATCCTAATTAGTTATTTATTTAGGATATATAGTTCCAAGGCACTGGTGCTTTCATTTATGATTTTTACCTCTTTTGATTATTTCAGCAGCTCTCTGTTCCAGAACAGTAATTTGCTACAGTAATATATAAAAACAAATTGAGAAGAGTGGTAGGAATCACTTGGAATTTCTATTTTATGTTGTTTATTATTTTATTTTATTAGATGTTACTAGATAACAGTAGGAAATAAGAACTTACTACTAGTTATTTATTGACCATGGTTTTGTATTTTGCATAACCAGAGCAGGAATGTTAAAGTCAAATAGTTACTGCTGTCTGTAATTTGAATGGGCGAGGTATGGTCTTACTTGAGGTTTTTGAGGGAGGAAGAGAGTTGTTTGTTTTTTTAACCCACACACTCACAGAATGTAAGCAGCTCTCTATGGCTATTGTTACTAATATAATAATACAACTCTACTTCCTCTTCCAACTTATATTCTCAAGGTTAAAAAAGAAGTAATGATGAGCTACAGTCAACAAGGATACAGTATCTGTAATAAAGTTTTTTGTTTTTTTTTAAATTAATTTTCTCCATTCTAAGAGCCATATACAAGAACAGACAGCAATTTGATAACTAGCTGCATGGTCATTTCTAGTCACTAGCATCAAGGCACAAAAAGGGTGTTGTGATACTTTATGCGTTAAATCTTGAAAAATATTTTAAGATTCTTCTATGTAGGTCATGAGACAAGAAAGTATTGTTACATAAATTTTATCCTGCAGCTCTTTGGCTTTAATTATGCAGTCTTCTTGAAAATAGCAAAGAGCTGACTTAATAGACTGTATCACATTTTGAGATAAGTGTCATATTTATAGCTTCTGTAATGTACATCAAAATGAGGACAATTATGCCTTGTTTAAAAAGGCAATGTTGAAACTTGCTATTTACAATTAAGAATTTATTTTAACAATGAAAATGAGGGAGTTAATTCTTATAAAAATTGATAATGACAAATATTTAAAAGCTACTACCATGCTCAATGTTATTCTATTATGTTTCTCTTTGAGAACGTGTTGTCAATACAAAGTTATTTTATGGTATTGCAGACCACATGGATCTAAAAATATAAATAGAACTCTTATATTCGTAAAGTACTGCAGATTGTTCCAAGTTTTTACGTACTGCACACATTCTCATTGATCCATTTTCTTTCTGTTTCTTCTGTTTTATTTGACTTAAAAAACAAAGCTGTCTTTAAATGTAGTTATTTTATGTTAGTTTAGTTTTCTTTTTAAGTCAGATATTTGTCTGAGTTTGAGTACTATTAACTCCTGGCAATGCACCTGCTAGTTGTGTTACAGAGCCTTGTATATCTTTTCCGATCAGACTTACATTTATATCAATTCAAATACAGTGACAACCTCCCCAAACTAAACAATATCTTAGATAAGTAGGTTGCTGAGAATGCAATGTAGTGATGTGAGATTTGAGAAGCTCAGAAGTGTGCTTACAAACTGAAGAGACTTAGCTGCGCAAACACAGCCTTTGAAACATATGTTTTTTTTATTTAGGACACGTATGTGCCCAAGGCAAATCCAAACTTATTTCAAATAAGCTATCTCTACACTGTTCAAATCATGAACATTAAATTGTCGTCACCTTCAAACATCCTTCCTGAATTTGTTTCTCTGAAACAAATTTTGAGCACAAAGATAATAAGGAAGTTAAGACCAAAGGAAAAAATAAAGAAATTATCTTAAAATCACTGGAACTACAAATGTGTTTTTTGAACACAAAAAGGGATTACGAGTGAAGCATCAGACTGAAAATCAAGTGCCAGTGCTGTGCTGACCAATTCACAGGTTACCAGAATTAGTTTGACACTACCTCTGAAAGACTTAGGTGCACACAAAACCTCTAATTTATTAAGGATTGCTTGAAGTTTAATGATCTAAATAGTACAATAAAACATTTATTTAAATCAATAATTTAAATATACATATTCACTATGACAAAAGCTTCTAAAAATGTTTAATAGTCATTTATCTTTTTATTAAAATAACTGTAAGTAGACATTTTTTGTTTAACTTCTAATCTATCCCACAATTCATTATAATTAGATCTAACATCAGTTAAGTGGAATTACAATGATTTTCTCTTGTGATATTGCAAAAGTTTCTATGATTGTTAATCAATAGGTGGAATGTGATGATTTCATTACCAAACAGAAATTTAAAAGAGACCTGGTATGTTAATATACCTGGTATGTTAATATACTTTGTGTCTCAGACTCTCGTCTGATTAGTACTTACATAAACATATTCATAGATATACTACAGGCATTGCATAAATTTTTGTGCTAAGATATTTGCAGGAAATCCTTTGGGAAAGGATCACTTCATTAATTTGCTTATTTTGTCATAAATTTATTGTATTTAAGATCGCCATCATTGGTTATTTTTCTATTTAAAAAAAAAAAAAATCCTAAAATTCCTAATTATTTTCTTGCTCTTAAATGGACAAATATTTTCCTGAAATGCATTGTTCTTTTATATCCGCAAAATTTTGTTTCTAGAAAATCACTCTTGCCTTTTTGCATCTGTGCTTTTGCAATTACACTGCATTTGATTTGGCTGAAGTGCTTGTAAGGTTCCACATTATCCCTTATTCTCTAGCTCCTTCTATATTAATCCTTTTTATCCTTACCTGACCTTTCTAAAGCTCAGTTTACATTGGAGCAAACCATGCTTTCACATATGGGAAACCTTCAGAAAGACTTTTTTTTTTTTCCTTTCTTTCCAGAAAGGCAAAACGACCCTTGAAAGTCTTTGTTCAGTTGAGAGGTCAAGAGGTTTTGGGCTCCAACAGCCCTTTTCTTCAGGGACAGTCACTGCTGGGTGATGCAATTGACATTAATGAGCCTTGGAAACACTGAGAGTAAAAGAGCTGAATTTCTTGTCACTGGAATATTAAGAATGCTCCAAACTCTTCTCAAAAGATTAAAAAAAAATAATAATCCACAAGACATTCAACATTAATATGTATCCCTTGCATCATCTTTTTGGTATATGATTTGTGTTAAATTCCCTTCCATCTTGCCTATACAGTAAAGGTGCCATGGATCTTCAAATCGCTTTCCTGTCACAGGAATGGGTCTGTAGTTATTAAAAACAGCTATGAACCAGATGATGGAAAGAGAAGTGTTTGAATGGATAGAGAAAGCAGAAAGACAACGGTGTGGAAATCTTTTACATCTCTAAAAAGTGCCACCAAGCAGCTGGCACAGTAGAAGAGCTGTCACTGAAGTTGGCTTGAATCCTTCCCAGCCACTCCAGAAGCAGCCTCTCATCTGCCATGGCCCAGTTCCTCAAAAGGCCTTCAGCTCAGCCCTGTCTCGTCTGTCTGACACGTAGGACATGGGGATAAATAGATACAAGGTGTTCTGATTTTGCAGTTCTGAAATGGTGCGTGTGCATAGAGTGTGGTAATCTAACATGGTAATGAAACAAAAACCTTGCTTACAGAATTAGCTCATTTATGCAGTTGTGTGAATTAATTTATGAATACTCATTTGCCACACAATTAACCAACTTGGATGAGAAAATGTGGAGTATATAACAGTTTTGGGAGGTAGGGATGGAACTGTATTATATCTCTACTCTGAAGACGTGAGTCTGAAGAAAAGGCTATTTTCAGTGAATTACAACATTATAACTTGAGCAAATGTTCCTTAGTTTGATGAATTGCTGAGCACATGTGAGTTATCTGATTAATCTGAGTAAAGTTTGCTATTTATGCTCATAGTTCTTTGTAAATAATTATGCAGGAGTCTTTACCTTGTCTATTTTATTCCCCAACAGCAGTATCAAAATTGTGAGCCACAGCCATAACAAAAACATCTTCCTTCTGCTCACAAATCACCTGTAACTCTGTAATGGTTCATAATGGTGCTATGTGAAAGTTAAATAATTATGCCAGTCCTGTATTTTTTTCCAAATAGTTGTACCTTGGATATGGAACTGCTTAGAAGTGGTTATGTGAGCAACCTTGAATTGGTAAAGTAAGGGAGAGTTCAAGTGGCAAAAGGAAAGAAAAGAAATCTAATTTATTCACTGGTGCTCTCTTTGTACAGAAATGATAAGATATTTGTAAGAATAAAATGTTAACAGTTTTTAAAGATATTTAAAGAGTGTTAAGGATATTAGCTTGGGCTTGTAGGTTTCCTTTGGAGCAGCAAACGTAATTTCAGTCTGTTGTGTCTGCCTGCTGCTATAAATATTTCGCATATACAGAGAATATACTTTTGTGAAAGATAATAACAGAGCATTCATTTAAAGAAACACAAAAAACCCTAAGATACTGAGATAAATACTCTGTCAAGTTATCAGGAGAACAATGAAGGTGCACAGAACAACTTAAGACACAGTGTGGTGGGTTCTCTGACTTACAGATCCCATCAACATTTACTCCTCTGCAAAGCTGAGTGCAAAGTATGTTCAAAAGCCAAATGCAGGGACTTGTATCTTGTAGCCATTCACTGGATCAGTATCTTTAAACAGGGAGTTTGTCAGTTTTCAGACAAACATTCTCCCTGACATAGCACATATTGGAAACTAGAACAGTTTTAAACTATCTCTAAGCACAATGGAAATCCACGTACAGCCATTTTTTAATGCCAGGTCTGTTTCCCAACAGAGGGAAATATCTTCGAATATTTAATGTGCCTATCATACCATATCTTGACTTTATGAAAAAATATGAGAAAGGGCTCCTGTTCTTTTTTGGAGTGCTGTGAGACCGTGTGCCTGCCAACAGTTCAATGCATTAATATGGCATTAAGATAAAATATAAAAGACTGTAAATTTATCCTCTTCCATGAAATAACAGCCTTGACCACGTTTTTTAGATAAAGCAGAAATCGGGCCCACATCTATTTATGTAGCTAAATAGATGCAGAACGAGATAAATATTTAATTACCAATTTTACACTGTTTATCAGTTTTGAGCAATACAAAATCTCTGTTGCACCACTCTGATTACCTCTGCAAAACATAGAACAGAAACAAAGTAAAATAGAATTTAGAGATGTTGGCTTACCAGAGTCATGTGTCCTGTGCAGCTTGTTGAATTGCTGTTTATTGATACACAATGCCTGTGTATCTAATTAAATAAAAGTTCAGGGCTTGCTCTGTAACTAAGGAATATACAGTATCCAATCCAAAAAAGGAACTAGTCAGTCATGGAAGTGAACTGAAAATAGCAGAATCTCCACCTCTCCCTAATAATACCACATTCACAAACGATTTTGCAAAATACATTCAGTATTCAGTAACACAGTATCCATTCCAAAGCACCAAATAGCCAGTAGAACTGTCCTTTGTGCAGTAATTTTATGAAATTTGTTGAAATTTATTGATGCAAAGGTTTTCAAGATAGAAGACATTTCTTTCCTCCTGGTCTGAGGTAGGATCACTGTATTTACAGACTGTCTCTGCTTATTTCATAAACCTTCTGGTTTTAGCATTTCTACACCTCCCTACTGTGCCAGTGCTGATGATTATTATGGTTTCTTAAGAAGAGTTGTTTTAATCTCCTGCCTAAATCTTACTTGATGCATATTAGCTTATATTTCTTTTCTAACCTTAAGTGAAGAACATGAGTTCATTTTATCACCAATTGTACCTGCTTCCAGACCAGTTTCATTCTTTCAAATGTTCCATAGCTCATGTTTTCTAAACCCTTTACTTACTACCTTTTTCTGCATTTCCTTTCTTTCTTAAAATGTTGCACACAACAGTGAATGCAACAGCTATTTGGCATTGACTTTTCACGTAGGAGATCTGTTAATAGTTAACATACATTTATATACAACAATCTGGGCCATGCACCCACAAAAAAAACCTTTCTTTGTAACAGTGTCACATTCCATATCTTAATGTGATTTTTGACTATTGCAGCCCCCAGACTCTTTTTCCTTTCTCCTTTTTAGCTTATAAATGACTGCTCTATCAGATCTTTTTCCATTTTCAATAAGCTCATTCGGTATTGCTCTATATATCTAATTCAAATGAAGGAGAGTTCTTGTTTTTACTTTAAAAACTATTTTATATCTGGTTTTTGGCCTTTTAGATTCAGTGTGGATTAAAAATAAGAAATAAATGAGGTGGGAAAACATTCCAGCAAGTCCATCACTTTTCTTAGCAGTTCCCATTACTATTGACAGTGGATTCCTCTGGCTGAGACATAGTTTATTGCTTGGTCTGTGACTTTCGAAAAACATTAGAGTCGCATTAGAATGTTCTGTGGGGAGATAAAGAAGCTGACAACTCTGAATGGCTTGCTTTGGATACGATAAACAGACAGGATGGTTTGTCTTTTCCAGTTTGCCTTGTTTTTCCATCTTTGTCTTATTCTGACAGGATTTTCTAACCGACAGGTAGTCACTTCAGCAAGTCCATCCAATCTTACAGAGCTTACACTCAAACATTTCTTATTTGCTTCTGCCCATAACTCAGCACAAATCTCAAATATTCAGCTATGGCATGACAGAAATAGAGGTGACAGAGCTTTCAATAACCAAGTCACAGCCATCCTTTCTGATTTTCTTTTTTTGCTCCAATCACCAAGCCAGCATAGCTATCCTCAAGGACTAGGATGTGTTAGTCACTGGCAGATGTGAAGCCAGAACCAAAAGGTTTCTGGATTAAATGAAATTAGAGCAAGTTTACCCCATTTTCTCAAATGCCTGGATACTACCTGTAGGCTTTTCCTGATTTACATCTGTTCAGTCTCATTCACTTTTAACTCCTCCTTCTTGTGTTCATGTTTTACTGATCCCTGTTGTCAGCCAAATTAAGTTAGGAGGAAGACCTATGGGTAGTCTTGAAAAGCACTGAAGTGGGACTGCTGTCAGTTTGTACCTAAACTCCATTATCCAAAGGACTGCAATTAGTTGCATAAATGGTCGTATCTCGTTTTGGTTATGCAGGCATTCAAACTCTTAACTTGTGTACTCAGGGTGCACACAGGTTTCATGTTTTTCCTTGTCTTTTATTTTAGGGAAACTGTTAAAAATGTGTATATGTTAGAGTAATTATAGGTAGATAATTGGTTGGGCAGAGGAATATTGAGCTTAATGCAGTTCCCAGCATGCTAATAAGAACTTATGTAACAATGAACATTCTTTGGGCCCTGCAAGCAATATCACAATATCTGTGGGGGGTAAATAATATTAATGACAATCTCTATTTTAATTTATTTTTTTCCCCATTTTCTAATTATTTAGATTCTGCACCTGGATCAAAATCAAATCTAATTTTCTTGCCCATTTATGACTATAGAACCCAAAGGATCGGGGAAAATCAAATGTAGGATAACTGCAGGAGGAGAAGCACAGGCTAGTTTTGCAAGTTTCTGTACTCAGCAGATCTTTAAGGTAGTTCAGGAGGCTGAGTAGCTTTCATGAGTCTTTTTTAGTAGCTGAGCAATTAGAGTGACTTTTTGCTTCTTTGAAGGGCGTGCTAACTGGTAATTACTTTTTCATTTAAAGGATGTGTTGTCATGTGAAAATTACTGATGCAACATTATGGTAGTACTCCAGGTTAGTACGACAGCCTTTAATGGCTATTCCCTGAAGAAAGTTTTATCTTTGCATGAGAAAGTATTTGTGTGTGTGCTTTACTACCTGTATTTTCCAGTAGATCTCACTGCACAACAGCAGAACATCAGAGAGTGCTTTGGGTTCAGCAGTGCAAGATGTGGATCTGAATGTGTAGCATGTTAGAATTGTATTGCTTTCTATTTCTGACCAAAATAAGTTTATTAGAGAATGGGTGAAAGCAGAAAAGGAAAGAAAAAGTGCAAATAAAAGAAACTCGAGCAATTGAAGTAAAGCTAGTGTTAAGCCTGGGCAGGATGAGACCTTAGTGGATTACTGCTGCTTTTGTGCTGTGTCTGCTGCAGGGGCAGGCTGAGGTGAGATGCATTGTTGTGGTGCTTTTTTGTTGTTGTTTTTGTTGTTGTTTTCTGCTTTGAGAGCAACTTCAACATGTCATGTGCTATGGTAGTTATTAGCAGCTATGACTCCATACACACAAGTGCTGTCTTGTCCTCTTTTGCACCTTTATTTCCCTGGGAAAATGAGAAAGGTCAAATGCTTTCCTAAATAGCTGACTAAATATTTCCCTCAGCTAAAATGGCAGAAGACGCCATAAGGCAAATGTGACTACAGCTGGGAGGCTTCATTTCATTTTTGCCCTGCTCATAAGACTAAACATGTCAGTGGTGCTTAATATCCAGTGACTCAGGAGTTGGGAGCTGAATTAATTCTCAAACTCTTTGTTTGCACTCCAGTGCGATGCACAGCAGGCTGCTCTCAGCTCTAGTGTAGCTCACTTGCCTTTTGAATATAACAGTGATGCTGACCTTTTAGAAAGAATTGTGTTATTCTTTCCAATGGATGGGGATATTTCTCAGGTCAGACTAAACACAGATGTCTGAATTTGAATTAATATATTTGCCAGAGCAATAAAATCAGGTGAAAATCAAAAGCAATCTGAAAGAAAAAATGCTTTCATTAAAGTAAGGAATCGAAGACAAGGGATATCGTGATGTACATGAACAATAAAATGTAATTCTTCTTTGCATCCTTTCTCATAATCACTGATTTCCTTTCTGCTGACAAATAAAACAATATATATGTCTAGAAGAATGTACTTTCCCACAAAGCTAGCAGGATTCAAATTGCCATTTTTATTAAAAGCAGAGTCCTTCCTCATTTATTATTTTAAATTCCATTACTTGTTTCCAAGGAGATAAAAATATGCAGGAAAATCATCTGAGATTCAGGCTTGCAAGGCTGTTTTCTTTACTGAGAGCTAAATGTGCCATGTTTTAATGAACAAAATACACTTGGAGCTGCTGTAGTAAAAGAGGCTGGGACTTTGGACTTCATTTCTGTCCAGGTCAACTTTCTGCTTGTGAGTGTTGGGAACAGGACTATTAAATATTCAAACCCAGTATCAGATTATTACTTTGTGGCTCAGCTGTGCTGTTCCCTATGCTGACGCAGACTAGGAAGTTCTTTTGTCCACCCACCCCTTGCAGTAGTGGCTGTCTCCTGGCAGTGCCAGGTATTTCAGAAGCACAAAGCAAGAACTGATAGCAGGCAGCAACTTTTTCTTCCTATAAGTTCCTCTTGGGAAATACTAAAGCCTGGATAGTTCCTTATTTAAAAGGCTGTATCTGTTCTGTGGATTGCCAATGTCAAGTCCCAAACAGTAAGAGATTTCTTTCTTCTTAGTCTCCTTCAATAAAATCATAAAAAGAAAATATGATGGTAAATAGATCAGTTGTCTTACCTGATGTAGTCTTCACCACCTCGGTTGTATTTCTTAATCCCGTAAAGGAGAACTGGTAGAGCCTCCAGGACCTGGTATCTCCCACCTCCACTGAGCTGCGCTTCCATTGGTAAATGATCTCTTCCCTTGGGTAACCATCTTATTGCAATGGAAAATACAGAATGCTTTGTTTCATAGTCATTGCTAGGATTTTAATGTACTCTGGGGAGTAAAAATACTATTTTCTATTTCTGGAAGAAACTGGAGAAGCATATCGCAAGTAAATTTATATATATACATATATTCTTTTCCCTCAAGTTACTTAGTAGTGCCTTTTACTTAATTTAGCATTTTCACTATTATAAGTTAAAATACCATTTGAGGTATGTTTTTCAATATTGAGTTTTGCAGTTCATTGTACATAATAGGATGTAGTTTTGGCCGTCTGTTTGTTAAGGCCAAAACCAGTTCAGCTGGACTCACTATTTACTCTTTGATCCAAACACAAAATTCAAACCCTTGTCTCCAACTCTTGCAATAATATAGCACCCATGTGCAAAGAGAAAGTATCAGGCCACAAGGCTCCAACGCCAAAGATAAAACATTTTACTTTTGTGCTGAAATTTAAGCATAAATATTAATTGCAAGGATCCCAGAAGTCATATCATTTTTACATAATATTCTTAAATTATCTCTGTGCACATGTGATTCCTGTACTTCCAAATCAACTCAAAATAAAACTGAAAACTGTTGCATTATGTTTAGTAAAAACATAACCGTAACTGACTCTAATTATATAAATATAAGTTTTCAATAAATAGTTCAGCATGGGTCAGGAAAGAGCTATTACTAAGTATGTTACTTACAGCTTGAAAATTCCAGGGGGCAGGAATGGGCATCCATTGGGAAGTTGTGTAACTGTAGCTGACACTCAGCATCAATTGTCAGTCTGAGGAAAAAGAGATCAGATATACAGAACGCACATGAGAAGCTTATACTAAAAGCTTCATAATGGCTAGCAAAACAAGATTGTTACTAGTGTGGAACCGGAGTATGAAATATGCATACATACAATGAATATAGAAAGGAAAAGGAAATTATTAATATGTATGTATTAATTTGGCTATTCCAAACTGTTTTTATGCTTTTGAAGCAGCATTACTCATGATCAACGAATCCCTAAGTGGATACACAGGTCTTCTCATGAGCAGTAGCAAATCTCTGTGTCACAACATGCCAAAATGCACTACAGAAATGTATTTTACAGGGAAAAAAAAAATACTTCTTGAGAAGTAATAGTCAGGAGTCCAAATTGCATCTAAGATAGCCATCTCGACTATCTTCTTATTTAGTGGAAAGAAAGGCACTCCGGGGATATTCTTGATTTCATTCCAAAATAGACATCTAAATTAAATCTGAAGAGGAATGCACCAGAAAGGTTTTTCTCTCTACTGAATATCAAGTAGTGTAGGTGCTGCAGATTTTTATGAGGCAGACACATGTACTTTTAGAAATCCACAAATAAATGAGATGCATTCCCTGATTTGCCTGCTAAAAACTCCATTATTTTTCATTTAATTAGCCATACGTAGCCTCGGTCATGCATGTCCTGCATGATACCTGAATTGTAAGCAAATAAGCAGCAAAAAAAAGGCTCTGAAAAGGAGGAAGGAGTGGGAGAGAGGAAAAAGCAGTAATGTTTATCTGCTCTTTGAATCTCTATGAATGGGTTGTCCATGAGGATCCTCATGTCTTTTCCTGCAAGGTATTTTCCAGTTGTCTGGCCCCCTGTCTTAATGTATAGGGTTATTCCTCTGCTGTTACAGAACTTCAGATTTTCCTATGCTAAACTCCATCAGAGTAGTCTTGGCCCATTTTTCCAGCATCTCATGGATCTGGACTTGGGATTTCTGAAAGCTTGTCTTAGCAATAAAGTCTGTGGCAAAGAAAGCGTTGTGTACCTTGACCTTTTCTGTGTCCTTTGAGACCAGATCCCCATTCCCACTCAGGGGTGTGCTCACACTTTTCCTAATCTTCTTTTTGCTGAGGATGCATGTGTACAGACTCTTAATGCTTTCCTGTCCATCACTGAATTCAATTTCAGTTGAATTTTGTCTTTCCTAACCCTGTATCTGGGAGCTTGGGCACTGTCTCTATATTCCTCCAGCTTTCATCTCTTGTACATTTTCTTTTCATGGATGAGTTTTGTCAGGAGCTTTGTGTTGATCCATGCAGACCTGCTTGCTTGATTTGTTTGCTGGTCTGGATTGACTGTTCTTGAGTTGGGAGAATGAATTGAGGAAATCAACCATCTCTCTCAGACAGAATCCCAGATCTGCAATGATACTGCCACATTTCTCTTCAGGATTAAACCAGGTTGAATCCTTACTGGTGTTTGTTGTGACTCACTAGAGAAACTAGGCATACATACATATTTGATACAACTGTAAGTTATATCACCTATATCACATTCTAATGAGGGAAACCAAGAGGTCTGAAGAGAAAGGTGTCAAAGTCCAAAGAGACAGTAGTGTGTCTAAATTCAATTTAACATTTCAAAAGTTGATCTGGGATCTTCTTTATCAGGCTTACTTTGATTTACCTTGGATTTCCATTCCAGTCATTCTCTTATCTCTTGAAATGTGATGCAATGTGTGATGAATGTAAAATAACTACAAAATAAAACTCCTTTTTGTAATTCAAATATTTGCAACATTAAAAGGTTGTCTTAAGGAAAGCTTCAAATGATTCATTAAAATGCTAATGAGCATACTTTTCTGCTTTTTTTTTCTTTTTGCCACCCAATAAAACAAGAGCATAAAATCAAAATCACTTTGTAAAAATAGCCTGAAACTCTGATAGTCTGTCTTATGGCTGACATCTTTGATTTTGTATTCTCCTTTAAAATTTTAAATTCTCTTGAACAGATATCGTCTTTATCTTTGCTTTACATAGATCCAACTACTATAACACTTTAGAAAAACAACAAAAAAAACATACCTAGAACTTCCACATTTAGGAAATATATTATAATTGAATATGTATTATTTAATTTAGTACACATTGCATATGTAACATCGAAACGTAGGTATGCGTGTAACTTAATTATTTAAAAGATTTGTAAAAATCTCAAAATAAAAATTATCCAGGCTGATGAGAAATCTGAAGACAGGCATTCCAAATTTGGATTCATTGAAATTTTAGTGAAGCAGGGCATATCTGAGGATTTGACCTGAACTGTAAATGACCAATGATAAAAAGATATTCCTTTTTCTCATAATATATTTGAGGAATGAAATATTTTGTCAGGGTGAAGCCTTATCTAAATAGTAATTGGTTCAGAGCACGAGGCCTCTGCTGCACATAATACCTCACTTATAACATCTTCTTGATTCAAGGATGTTTCTAATTCATTATTTTAACCCAATAAAAAGTTAGAAGGCAATATGGTCCAAACCACAGGTAAACAATAAAATACATGAAAATGAAGATGAATTACTTTAACCATGCTTATCTTCTTTTAAGTATAGTAATATAACTATTTTGAGAGCAAGACAGTAACATTTATAAGTAGAAATGAAACTATTTTACTGTGCCAATATCAAATAAATTGCATGCAAACAGTATATTCTAAATATGTCTCCTTTTTAGGGTTGCACACGTAAGGATAAAACAATGTGTGTTGTCATCAACTGAACTGAATTCATAGAACCCATCTTTTTGGCTTTCCCTTGAGAAACTGAAATTAAAGTCAAGTGTAAATACCTCAGTGTGTACAACACTCTGCCATCATTCCAGATCCTGAGCATCCTGTTAGGAGTTGTTATCCAATGAGCATCGGCTTTCTTGGAATTTCGGAAAAATGTATCAGGTATCCAGATCTTCCCAACCATGTTGCTGTTTAATCTGAGCACTTTTATAGTGCTGTTGAACTTCAGACGTCTGTCATACCACGTTTGGGCGAAAAATATATCAATTGTATATTCCTGTTGTGTTAACCAGAAATACTGATGAAAACATAGCACTCAGCAGTTCACATTGCTCCTCACATACTTTCCTTAACGTCATATGAAAAACAAAAAGTGAAATATAGATGATACTAGAAGTGCTAAAAACATTTTAAATGAGATTTTTGAGAGGGTTGTTTAACAAAGATTATTGTTTAAAAAAAATTGTCATTATTTTCCTATTGACAAATTGACCCACAGTAAAATGGAGATATGTATCTACAGTACATATTCTGTACCCCCATGCCTCAACCCAAACTTGATCATGTTAGAGAACAATTACTTATTCCCTTGGATCTAGAACAGTTAAGATTGCAGCTGATCTGACTGCCTTTATTGGCTGGGACTGCTAGTTAATGTCAAAGTGGTGGAGTCTCACTTTCACTGGCATCCACCAGGCAGCCAATAGCTGCAAAGGGAATTGTAGAGTACAAAAGAGTCATTTGAGATTTCTTTCTGAACATTAAAACTACAAGAATGAAGTAAGAAGCCATTGTGCTGCTAAGGCTAGACCAATTTCCATCAGCTATACAAAGACATAATTAAACTTTGCTCTTAGGGTCTAAGTTTTCCTCTTTTATCTCTCTATGGCAAGAATGGTAATGTCACTGGTGAATGCTTTTGCCTGTTTTGTTGTAATCTGGAAACTCAGTCCCATTGGAGCTAATCTGTCACCAAACAATACAGAATACAGTAATAGATTTGTGAAGATATATTAAAATTATTATTCACAATTTAGTTTGTTGTCTCATCCAGATTCATAGCTCATCTAGTCCTCGCATCAATAATAATGAGATTTGAAAATAATTTATGTATAATATGACATTAAAACTAATGGAAACCTTGTAATGTCAAAAATGATGGAGGCTTTGCAACAAACTGAACATTGTAGAAAAATGTGGCAGTCATTCACCTACCATATTGATAGCATTCACTGGCCCAATGCTGTTCACATACATGTCAGTGTGAATTACTGTTGGCTTAACTGTAAGAGAAACAAGAGTCACTACTACAAGTGAAGGTCAAAGTCAACTGCAAAAGAGTCAAAATGATGAAAAGATTGTTTTAATACCTCTGTTGTATAGCTATGGATGCCTCACATTAAAATGTGCTGATAGAATAAATATAATTTTACAGCAATGTCACCAGGTTAAAATAAGTTGAACAATACAACTTATTGTATAATATCTATTATTGTATATCTATCAGATATATAATTATATCAGAACAAATTCTCTTATGCTATGAGAACAAATACAGAAACCAGCGTCATTGCTTCAGTGAGTCATATCTGATGGAGAGTATGTGTATTTTGTGTCAAATCACAGCAACACATCAGACAAAACACTATCAACAAATTAAACTTATTCCTCTCCCAATACGTTGCATCACTAATTTAATGTTACTATGCTGAAAGCAACATGACTGCTGTTGCCTGCCGAGATAGCTGTAGATAAGTGACAATTTCATGAACCCCAAATAGTATTAATACTCAGAACTCTAAAACAGGAAATAAAAACAGTTGTTAGAATAATTTATTTTGAAATTACTTCAGCTTTATTATTCTCACGTACCTTGACTAAAACATGTTTGGTTCTTTTCCCGGATGCTTTTTGTGAATGCTTAATTTCTCTCAGCCCTCTAATGTCATAGAGAGAATAAGGCAGAGGATCAACTCCTCTGTTGATTTAGACTACGTATATGTGCTGGAGGTTAAATGTCTTTAGTTTATAAACCTATATAAACTTGTTAGAAGAAGATTCTTTCATTAACCTGGCTGTTCTCTATGTTCCTCTGCCTACCAGTGAATTCTCTTCTTGTTTTACTGCAACCTTACTATTTATGTATCCTCTTCTACATACATATCTTCTGGCTGTTCTGTGCCCACATGGGGCCTTCTCAGTCTAACTCCTGTGAGCCCAAGGATCCTTATCTCTCAGGTCCCTCAGTAATCAATGGAAAGATCCCTGCAAAAGCAGTTTCAGTTCAAATAGGATTTCCATTACGGGTCTGAGCTTGAGTCTATATACATGCATTAGTTGTGGGGGAAATCTGGGGAAATTAAGTTTATCTACTTGATTGCATTTATCTTTTATGAAACCTTCCTGAACCACTTCTTGCTCTGTTGAGCAATGATTCAACAGATTGACATGGAGATGTGTCAGTGGAGGGTCAGGTTGGATATTAGGAAAATGTTGGTCACCAGAGGATGGTTGGGCTCCCCAGGACAGTGGTCATGGCACCAAGTCGCTGGAGTTGAAGGAGCATGTGGATAATACACTCAGGGTTTGGATTTGGGGTGATACTGTGTGGAGTCAGGAGTTGGACTTAATCCTTGAGGGTCCCTTCCAGCTCAGGATATTCTTTCGTTCCATGGTTCTAAATGGCATCAGTCAATTCAGACCTGTTACTGTCAGAGTCTCTAAGAGTCCATCACTCTGTACAAGAATCAGCATGCATTCTCCTTACTTGGGCCTTCCTTTCCAATATATATATATATATATTTATTCTCTAACAACCTTTCTTAGGTACACAAAGAAGAAAAAACTCTTTTTAATTCCCCAAAATCCTGTGTAGGTGCATGATTACATGTGGCCTGATTCAGCAAATCATAGCAGTCTTATTAGCTGTCTCAGGAGAGATTTAGGAATCTTAAAAATGTATGCAGATTTCCAAAATCATGGCTTCTTTTTGTGCCAGATATTTTATTATCTCTTGTTTTGTTCTCATAATTACTTTAGACAGATTCTGCTTCATGCACAGTATAATATTGTATGAAAATGCTTTCCCTTCACCACTTAATCAATGTTGGGCTTAAAAGAAAACCAACATACCTCCTATATCAGGTCTTAACTTGTTGTCATATCCTTCCAGTAAGCCATTTAAAATAAGAGTGACATCACTCTCATGAACTTTGGGAGTCAAAACCCAAGTCTTATTTGAAGTGTAATCTTCATAATCATCGTCTCCCTTTTGGGTGGAACTGTTAAAGACATAAAAATGAAGAAATGGAAAGCCTTCAAAAGTACGAATTTGCAGGTAAACTCTCTGGAGAAAATGTACACTTCAGATTTCAATAGTATTGTACAAAACATTGAAAAGTAGCCTGCTTTATAAATGGAGACTCACAGGAAAGATCACACATTATTGCTGAGGTTATAGTTCACTTTAGCAAAATCTTTTAATACGTTGAGCTCATACTCTATATTTGGAGAAGCATCAGTGCTTACCACCTTTTGCATGTCTGTTTTTCCTCTCACTGACTCAGGTGGGACCTATTATGAAACAAATCTAATTGTCATTTAGCTTATGCAACTGTCCACCAAAATATCACTTAGTATGTACACAGTGTTGTTGAATTACTTTCCTTTGAGAGAACAATTTGATGCAACACATTACTGACAAGAACAATAATTAGATTCATTCAGTCACACCGCTTCTCTCCACTCTGATGAACTTGAGCTTATTGTGCATTTGGAAAGTTCAGCATAAATTTTTTCCATTGTTTTTCACTTTTGCTAACCAGAATACACACACACAGAATAGTCCATCCATCATTTTTTTTCAGCTTCTGAGCAGTATGGCAGCAGATGTAGTAAATTCAACCTGCCTTGCAGTAAAAAAGAAGTTCGGCACCAGAAGCATGTAGACTAGCCTTAATGGTTGTTGTGCTATCTTGAAGCCTGTGCTGTCAGTTATAGAGGAGAAGATAGAACCTAACTTAGAATGTGACATCACCAGCTATGTCAGTGCTTATTAGAATTGAATGGTGCTAGACAGTTGTAAGATTGTTTCTGGTAGAATATACCAGCACCTTCCTTCCCTGACCTTCTTCTACAACAAAGCTTGAACTCTGCTGGATATTGAAACTCTTAATGACATTACAAATGTCTTAAGCAAGTGGGTGGAGTTCGGATATGAATGAGTCAAAAATTAATGTTCCTATTTGGTACTGAGTCTGTACAGTCTCTCCTTACTAGCACAAAAGTGGGAAAGTGCAGGGAAGCAGATTTCAAGCTGCCCAGAGAGGCTGTGGATGCCCCGTCCCTGGAGGTGTTCAAGGCCAGATTGGATGGGGCCCTGGGCAGCCTGGTCTAGCATTAAATGAGGAGGTTGGTGGCCCTGCATGTGGCAGAGGGGTTGGAGATTCATGATCTCCTTGGAGATTCATGATCCATTCCAACCCTGGCCATTCTGTGATTCTGTGATTTGTAGGGGGTCAAGAGCACATGCTTGGCAATTGTGAATGAAAGCAGACACAACTGATCGTGTTCATGGGAGTGACAGTGAAGGAATAATTTAGTCCCAGAGTCTAAAAGCTATGTTCTTCTAATGTAGATCTTCGCTCAAGCTTTGGCCTTGCATGTTCCTCTCTACAGTGCTCTCTGATGCCTCCAGCTTAGACCTACCCAGCATGAGTAGCCTGAGGGTTTCCCCTGTCTTGAGCCTTTGGAGCTGTAAGCCAGTGGCACAAATACAACTTCAGTAGGAAAGAGGCTTTCAGTTCTTTGTCCTCCATCAGCACAGCCTAATGAGAAGGAGCCACAGCACTGCCTGGCCTCATCACATAAGACTGCTTTTTCCCAGGAGGTGCTGAAGGTACAGGCAACTTGGAAGCAGCATGAAACTGTGCACAGGACAAAAGCAAGCAGGAACACACAGCACGAATGAGAGAGTCAGGCTTGCATTGCATTGAACTGTGCTTGCTAGTGAAGCTACATCAACCTATGCCTTCATTGCCTGTACTAAATACCACTACTGTAGCCTCCAGGCACCATCTAACCCATCCTGCATCAGCATTACATCTCTTGGAGCTTCAGCATTCCATATCAAACAATAGCAATCCAGCCATCCTCCCTTTGGCAATACAGTCCACAACCTGTCTGTAGCAATCAGAGGCTGAATTCTAAACAGCAATATGCTACATAGTAATCTGCTGGTAATGAAAAACAGGCCAAGATAATTAAATTGGTGAGGGAAATTTGTTTATTCAGCTGTCTAGGGTTCAAAGATCTAATTGCAATTCAAAAGAATATAATTGAGGCAGGGTTCTCCCTCCTGAAGGAAATCCCTCTAAATAGATTCATTCCAAACAGAAGGCACTAGATTGTATGTTTTTAGTCTTCAGAGTAAATGAAAAAAATGATTTGATGTATAAAAACCCATATTCCTATTGTATTGTCAGTGAAATAACCCTTCTCCAAGAAGAAATCATTTTCTAAATGGAAAAGAGAAAGCAAATCAAATACATCCTTTCACAAAGACAGCGAGGCCCTGAATATGAAGGTGCTGCAAAAATGTCCAAAGTCAGGCAGATAGGACTGAGTGTGTTATATTGGACATTGTGAAATCAGAGGATGACAAACCACGTGCTTGTCTGGGACATCTCTCAAATCTAGAACAACCTCATTGAAGAGCAGCCTGCAGGCACTCCTTTCCCTTGTTAATGATTTGTAGGAAAGTAATAATTATTTGTTTGCTTATCTGGCATTCCAAACCATTTTGGCACTCTGAATCTCAAAATGCAACAGATGTTTTGTGAGATTAGTGTGGAAGAGAGGGAAGGAAATACAGCCAATGCAACTAAGGATAAAGCCACCAAATTCCATCTTTTATCTGAATTCCAAGTGGATCATAAGTCAACATGGATATCCAATTGCCTAAATGTCTGTCTTTGTAAAATTGCATACCAGCCAGAACAATCAGGGGCGCATCTATATCCAGATGAGCAGAGTTTTTGCAGTGCAAGTGCCATTAATACTAATGAAAGTTATAATGACAAAGCCCTTTTCATCTCCTTAAGACTTTCAGATCAGTCCTTCTGATTATATGGCCTAAATTCTGCAAGAGCTTTTAATATTCAGAACAAATTAGGTAAAGTCCAGATTATACTTAAATACACACGGAAATCTGTTTTTATTTTTGACTGCTAGAAGTTTTCCTGTCTAGCAAAGGCACATGTATTTCCTTATTT